ACTCTCTTACATCTTTTTCTTATTCCTAATCCTGTAGAGACTTCACCTATTTATAACCATACAAACTTGCCCATTAAGAATCCCTCTCCTCTTAGAATTCTTCTCCTGTAAGTCAAACTTGTCTATTAGGAATCTCTTTCCTTTTAAAATTCTTCTCTTGCAAGTCAAACTTACCTATTAAGAATCCTCTTTCTCTTGAAATTCTTTTTTTGCAAGTCTTTTTATCCATCAAGCAATATCTGACAAATCTCAAACAAATCTCTAATAAATCTCTTATGGGATTTGAGTCAATATTCCCAACAAATTTAGTATATTATGAACATTAGTTATTGTTTTCGTCATTAAAGTTTTTGCTATCGGGAGTCATTAAAGCATGAATTTTCCAAGGGTAACCAACGTCTTTACATTTATAAATTACCCGACCAGGCTCATTCTTAATCTTTTCAATATCTATGGATAGCACCAAAATCCCTTAATACAAATCTGGAATGCTTCACATCAACAAAGACTTGGTATTGCTCAAAACATATTTTGCCTTCTTAAATGGTTTGGCCAGATACTCAGTGTCCTGCCAAATACTTTCGTTTTTTTTTTTTTTCTCCACAATCAATTCATTATTCTCATATGTTTCATACTTGTCACAGGAATCATCAGAGGCAGCATCACTAAGCCCATCCTCTTCTACAAGTTCCTCACCGCATAAACTATTGCCAGTATCATCTTCCTTATTACAAAAGCATTCTTCATCATCATCGGAAAATGCATAAATATTAATATGCACGTCTAACAAAAATCAATACCGATATGACGATCATGCCCATCATCCTCTTCATTGACTGCTTTCATCATTTTTTTTCCGATTTGTACGCCTTATTTTACTTTTGCTTGCAAATGTAGTGGCTATCACATCACCCTCGGATGATGTTTGTTTTATCCTTACCCTTTCTAATTGTCTCCTTATTAACATCACCAGAAAAAATAAAAACTTTATCCTTAATATCCATTTTTTCATGTGTTTCACTCTCAATTTTTTACTGTTACCAACGACATCAATTTCACATTCCTTTACATTGTTTTGACCACATTCAACAACCTCAACTCCACCCCTCCGTATCATCACCTTCAAACTTAAGCAAGGGATCTTCATCAACATCCAATGGAGGTCCAACTTAGTCCTTATTGACATACAAATGAATTTCATTTCTATCATCCCATTTCTCAAACAATTCATAACATTAGCATCATGTTTAATCCCCATCTCATTTTCAGCCATAATAGACACATTGATCAATTTAATATGCTTGTAAATTTGACATATTAAATCTATTCAAAAAAATCTATCTTCATAAACATTCTTACTAATTCTTTGTTCATCAAGGTAATGAAGTATGCGATTATGCATCATTTTGTCTGATCTAGTGCTATATATACAATATTATGAAATTAAAAAGTTTAATATATGTACAAACACTTATCTAGAGCAATAAACATAATAAAAATAATGAAAATAATCAAGTATAATTTACAGGTACAATTAGGTTTGAAAATTTTAAATAGAAAATTATTTTTTTTCAAATTTAATTAATTAAATTTAGATTTTCACTTGAATAAATAAAATAAATAAAAAGATACTATTCATTTCGTAACTGTTCGTTCAGCCTTCCAGAGTATTTGATGTCAAAAATAAACTTTGATAACGTGAGATTTTCACTAAATCAATAAAGAATGCTGTTGCCTTTCCTTGGTTTTTGAAGGCTAAAGTTGTGTTTCACATATTTCTTTTTTTATATTTTCTTTCTTTCTTTTTCCTTTGCTCTTTTCATTTTGTCAATTCATCTATTATAGTAGGATATTCAAATAATTCTCTTCGAGATTATCCACTTTTTCTTTTTTTTTTTTAGTGGAAATGACCCTTTGAAAAATGTGCTTTAACCTTCTTTAGAAGCAAAATTATTGTATTAAGTATTTTTTTTCTTGCATTTTGAGAAGTGTTTGGATAAGGGATTTCAAGAAGGATTTTATTTATAAAAATTTTTTAAAATATTAAATTAGAATTGCATTATTTGATAAAATAAAAAATAAAATTATCAAAATTTTTAGAATTTTAAATTCTCTTTTCAAATTTCACAAAAAAAAAATTTCACTTAAGGAGATGAAATTTATGAAATGCTTTAGTTTTATAATAAAAAGTCAAATTTATTTTATTTTTACATAACTTTTTTTTTAATTTTAATTACAAAAAATTATTATAAATTTATTTAATTTTTATATTGTTAGGAATATCTAGATATTTGTACAAATCAAATGATATCCATATTGCATAAATTTTTTTAGTATTTTATTTTTATCTCTAATATAATATGTTCCTATTATATTATTGTTATCTCATCAAATTCTAATATTTAAAATTATTTTTAAACAATAATTAATCAAAATTACAATTATAAATTTTGTTATTTTTGTACTCATTTCAAAATATTAGTATTTTAAAATTTTTTAAATTTTCCAAATTTTTAATACAAACACACTCTAAGCAAAGCTAACAAATTGAGGAATTAAGATTTTGGAGGAAGTAGTCCAAATAAGCTGAATGAAGCAGGCCACATCATAGGTCCGTATGCCACGTCGGATTAAAAATTGAAGAAAAAAAAATTGGATTTTAAGCAATGAAATCAAACTTTAATATCACAAAACTAAATTGATTTCGATTAAAAGTTAAAAAAAAAAAGGAAAAGAAAAGAGTCAAAAAAAATTTTGAATTAAAATTTAATAATCATTCAAATTTTTATTTATTTTTTAATTAATTAAATATTCAAATATTTATTTTCATTAATTAAATTTTTATTAAAAAATAATTAATTATTATTATTCATTCAAAAGCTTAATCAAATGAAAATAAATAAGAATTTAATTGAATAAAAATAAATATTTAAATTTTTTATTGGATTAAAATAAAAAATTAATTAATTATAATAAAATATTAAAAACTTAATTGATTATTAAATTTTTATTCAAAAACCTTTTTATCCCTTATACCTTAAAAAAAATTGCAAACAATTGAAAACCCAAAAACCAACGATTCATACTACTTTTCAAAATTCCTTGATATCTCATGTAAAAAAACCCATAAACCCAGCATCATTAACCATAGTCGTTGTTTGAGATATCATCTTTTCTTTGCAACCCAATTTGATATCTAAATTTCAAAACCCAGAATAAAATGTGATTTTTTTTCTTAAGTTCTCAATATGAACAAAGACCCATAATGCACAAAATACTAAATTCAAATTAAAAAATCAGTTGAATGAGGAAACTGATCTCATACAAGCAGAAACCCATGTCCAAACACATTCACCACAAGCAATTACTCTTATGCTTCTGGACCATACAAGGCCGGTTTCATGGGAGAATATAATGGTGGTGGATTCGGGAAATGAAGGCCAATAAGTTGGAGAAATGTTGAGGTAAATTGAGGTTCAGGTTTAACACTGAGAAGAAAGAATGAAGGCGTTTTCGGGGTTTTGGAGATGGGTGAAGAGATTTGAAGAATAAGATCTCGTTATGGTTGGGTCTAGAGATTTTGGGGTTGGTCTAAAGATTTCGAGGAGAGATTGGTCGGCGTAAAGCATGGGTCATCTACGGATGATAGAGAGGCAGCCAAGTTTTAGAGGGAGAAAGGCGGCAAGTCCTCAGATAAATGAAGGTGAAAGAAAGAGAATTAAAAAAAAAAGTGTGAAATTAAATGTATTTATAGTTCATTTTAATCAAATTAATTGATTAAATTAGTTTAATTCTGTTAATCAGTAAGTAATCAAATTAATTTTAATCAGTTATTAAAAATAATTTTAAAAATATTTGGATTTTTCAATTTAAAAATTAAATTAATCGAAATTTTAGTTGAAATATTATAAAATTAAAAATATATGAATTTATTTATTTTATTTTAAATTATTAGAATTTTTAATTTAATATTTTAATATTTTTATTAGATGATTTTATTTAATTTATTTCACATATAAAAAATAAAAATTTAAAATAAAATTTAACTTAATATATTTTATTTTTTGATTAACAAAAAAAGTTAATCAAATCAATTGAATTAAATTCTATTAGTTAAGTTTTTAAATTAAAAATTTGGTGTAATTAATAAAAATAAATTAATTTAATTTAATTAATTTGATTTGAAATTAATTAAATTAATTGAATAAACACCTTTATGTAAAATATATCACTAATAAAATAATCACTTAATTATTAATTTTTTTATTTATTCATTTAAATTTGAACAAATAATTTTTTATTTAATCATTAATTTTTAACGATATGATATTTTTATCAAGTATCACGAGGTATTGATACAAAAATTTTCAAGTCTAACTATCAATATGAAAGACATATGATTAAGAGGCTTTAGGAAAGATATGTCGTTAAGACATATAGTTAAGTTGTCTTTCTCCTCGAGTTAGTGGTTAAAAGACTTTAAAAAAAGCATGTGATCGTGAGTACTAAACCCGTCATTTCTCTTCCCCTCTTTCTCTTTGTATTGATGTTTGCCCTCCTTTGAACCCAAAAAAAAGAAAAATTTCAAGTCTAACTATAAGCATGTCTTAAGCCATGTCGAGTGATGTAACAACATCTTGTGGCATATAATCATTAATAATGCTACATCAATATATTGTTAAAAGTTAATAATTAAGTAATAATATAGATAATTACATAAATTTAAGTAATTAAATTAAAAAATAATAATTAAGTAATTATTTTAAAAATATTCATATAATCATATAATTAAGTGATTAATTGTGTACTTAAAAACAAAAAAAAAAAACAAAAAACAAAAAATGAAGAGTTAGAATCAAAAGCTAGTGGGCGACGATCACCTTGAAGCACGGATCTCCGTGCACTAACCTCTTCAACTTTGAAAATTTTCTTGTTCAATTTAAAACATTGTTTGGTTGGAGCTAAATTGTGTGTATAAGGATGTATTTTTTTGTTTCCATTTTTTTTTTCTTCAAATTTTAATCTGACGTGGCATTTGGCCCTTATTCTGACATGACCCACTTCATTTAGCTTATTTAAACTAGGTACAACATACAACACGTGGCGTTCATTATTGAAAAAAAAAACAGTTTTTTCATTAACAATGTTACCGTTAGATGCCCAATGCCTTCAAAAAACAAGTTAAATTATCAAATTATGAATTTTTTTAAATATCAAACCATAAAAGTATAATTCAGGGATCAAAATACACATTAACCTAAATGAAAATGATGACATTACAGGGAATGAACCATCATATCATTACAAAAATTAAGAACAACTTCGCGCATGAATAAAATCATTCCAATTCAAAAATTACATAAATCTGGCACTCAGTTTCAATCCATTCAGTTTCAATCCATTTTAACTCCAAATGTCAAGAATGGCCCCCAGTATGAAAGGGGGTATGCTAGCTCTGTTCCAAAATTTTCAACCTGTGAAACATTTTCAGATCTCCAAACCAACTCCTTTAAACCCTCACCTAAGACTTTCCTCAGATCAGACATATCTCAAAATCTAAATCAAATTAGCCTTCTTTAGGAACCTGATGGTTCTGCAATAATATGGCCATATTGATTCCACAAAGTCCAGGTACTTTTCCATCCTCCACTCTTGAAAATCTTTCACCTTTCTTCTATACAGCTCCTTGTAGTCCAAGTTCTTCATATCTACCACGGGCTGCCACACACGTGCTCGTACATCTTCCTTCAGCTTTCCACGAGTGATATAATTGTAAGTCACAAGGCAGTAGGCAGGTAAGTTCCCAATTATTTGAACGGTCTGCTTGAAGCAGAAAACATAGAACGCACACAAGGCTCTAAGCATCTTGATGTAAAGAGCAACAATCAGGGGCCCAAACACCCATAGAGGAGTCAATTCCTTTGAAACTTCAGCCCCACACATCAAACTGACAGCCAGGTAACTAGGAATACTGCAGAGACAGCAAAGCAATTGTTAGCCATGTATGCAGATATATACAAAGCATTTTCATCCATAGATCGTCAAATAAATTACTATTCAAGTTATTCTGGAATGGCATTCAAAGTAAGACTAAGACATAGGACAAGTCAAATAATTGACAAATTTCACTGACTAAAAATATTAATAGTAAAGGATTCAAAGTTACAATTTTAACCAACAGATGAAATCAATAAGCAATAAGCTACTACTAATCATCCAGAGGCTAGAAAGAGAAGCACTATTCTTGGTTGACAAAAACAGAATCAGAACCAGGAAACCGAGTTAGCAACAGTTGATCAAAGAATACCAAAAGTCCTTAAATGAAGACGAGAATTAAATTGTTCTCACTCTTTGCTTTTTTTTTTCTTAGAAAGCGGATGTAGCTATTTTATATCACAAATATTAAAAAAAATACCTAATAGATCATCCAGCTTGTGAGGAATAACTCCAAAGGATGACACATAGAGAGACAATGCCTGGTAAGAAGCCATGAACAACTATACTTACAATATTAATAAGGCTATTTTGATTGTTGCATCCATATCCCAAAAATGGCTCCAAACCATCTTTAGAATCTCGCTTTTTTGATTGCTTTGGGTGCCAATTTGAGTTTCTGATGTGTCCCTTGGAGATGGTCCTTCTCCCAGAGGTTCATCCATCAGTTGATTTGGGGATTGTGAGCGTAATATCATTATCCATTTCTTGAATAATTTCTGAATAGCAGGGGATCCCACAACATTCTCACTTGTTTCTGGGGCATAGGCAAGTGGACCATTATGAGGCTTTGGAGATTCTATCATGGTCTCTTCACCATCTTTTCGCACATAAGAAACTTTAAAAGATTTCTTGGGAACACTTGTGTCATTTGCTCTGCCTCCTGATTCATCATTCTGAGCACTGCCTTTGAAGGCTGAAATTCTAATATTTTTGGCTTTCAATCCACAAGTATGAGAAGTCCCTATACTGCAAAAATAAGCCATCCGAATTTATACATTCAAGATGCATATGATGAAAAGGAAGTATCTGAAGAAAATGAAAGGAAAATGGGATTGCAAAAGACAACATAAAATTAATAATTGGAAAGTAGAAAAGAATATGAGTTCACATCCTGTTCAAAATGAAAAAGCTATTTCCCTTCAGCTACTGTTCCATGGCAATTATGAATGCATAAAAATGTTAATATGAGAGCAAAGTCATTTGGCTTCACAACCAAATATTATTTACTTGGATAGAATAGTTGTAGAAGAATAGGACCACAAGCATTTCCATATAAAGATCAAAGACAACTTCGGACCTGCTCTATTGGCACATCATGCAAAAAACTTCTTTCCTATCCTCACATGTAAAGGAAAACAAATCAGAATGCTGAGGCAAGAATTCTTATCCAAGCAGAGGACATCAATGACAAAAAGACATTATTGGCATAGACCCTTATGTATATAGAACAAGCATCATTACAACAATCAAGTAATGTTTGGTAACATGAACACCTTGGTAATCAGAGGCAAGAAACAATTCTTCACATTCACAAACTCACACTACATCAGCCTAAAATTATTTCAATGAAGTTTTACGCACCAGAAGCACATCTTATTACCATCCTGTGTTTTCAACATCCTTGATGTTTAATTTAACCACTTAGATCAAAGCAATTTACAATATACTCAAAGGAATGGGATTTCTCCCCCAAAAGATTCACAATAAACAAGGTCAGTGAATTCTCCCCCCCCCCTCCCCCCCCAACCCACGTTCTCTTTATTGCAAAAGATTTAGAAAAAATGAAAAGGCCTCATTTCCTATTTCAGTTCAGAAGGAACCAGTCAGCCTAGTTTCTTTGCACAGGCACCTGTTGGCAATCAATTGATTCCCCACTTCCTTTCATTCAATTTGTACCTTTGTTTCTAAATTTTTAGATTATAGTAAAAGTGAAAAAAAACTTTGACAAATGGGGGAAGAAAAATTGCTAAATCAAAAGCATTAATCCTTTCAAGATCAGCACTTCCAAATATACCCTGAAAGTCGATCAAACCAACCAGGATACTAAGAGACAAGCTACCAACAAGGAATTCCGTAATTCATTCATTAATCATAAGGGAGATGTTGGTTACCTTGAACAAACAGAGCTCCTTAATGATATGCTCTTCTCTCTTCTCCCAAGCATATGATATGTAACTACATGTCGCCTTAATGTCAATCCTTTCCTCCATGATAAAGGCCTTGAAGGAAATGCTACATATGAACCCTGAAATGCAATAAAAATGGCCAACAGACTTTCAATCTTTCACAAAATACCAAAAGAAAGCTGAGATCTCTATGTTAGTAGATGAGAACAAATTAGAATTTTCCTCAATAAATAAAAAACCTCAAAGCAGTACAGAAGAGAGCTCCCAGAGCAGAATTTTATCATCTCATAGGATTCAACTAACAGCACATGGAAGGACCTATGCACCTAGGAAGCCAGGTAGGTACTTTTAACTCAGCCATCAAACTCTTGGTTTCTATGGAACTTTATTTCAATGTCCTGATTCCATGCACTCCTAGTCCACTAGTTTTTTAGTAAAAATTTTTATTAGAATACCTGCAATTGATGTGTCACCAACACCATTGTCTCAACCTCCAACTTATGCGCCCGAACATATATTTAACAAGTCCTAAACAAATGAAATGAACACAATCAACACAATGTTCTTCAGCATCACAAGAGATTGGAAGCTTTCAACTGTCATGTAAGCAGGAAATTATTACAAAAAATGATATGAAAGAGTGCAGACCAAAAACAAAAAAAGGGGACCCTAACTGACCCCGAGATAGAATGATAGCGGCCATTGCCAGAAACAGTACAGGTAACAAATTCCATCTTGTCCTTATTGAGGCAATCAAAAAAATTGCGTCAAGATTTCAAATATAGAACAAACAATGGAAATTTATACTAAAATAAAAGGAAAAGAGTTCGAGGCAAATATTGATGCTCAGTGGAGCTGCAGGACATCAAACATAATTCTATTTTGCTTTCAAAAGAAGAAGATGAAGAAAAGCGAGATTGAAATTTTGTGTTAAAATTATCAGCAAAAATTAACATTTCTTTACCTCTATTTTCTCAACATCCAGACAAAGGATGAAGCTAAAAGCTTTTAAGTAAACCCATTTCCATGTAGCTTAAGTAAATACCTTGTTATTTAAAGGAAATTCGAGTAGAAAAACAAGGCAATTTTCTTTTCTTTTTTTTTTTTTTCTCTTTCTTCCGTTTTCTAATTTCTACAAATACATATTGTGAAAGCAAAACCCTAAAAGAAATAAAATGAAAAAAGAAAACAAAAAGGCAGAAAATAAGGAGAAGAAGATAAGAGACTAACCTTAGACATGAATGGAAATCTTTAGCTCCTCTCCTCTCCTCAAAACAGATTCGAAATAAAATTAGTTTTCTTTCTTTTTTTTTTTTTTTCTATTGCGAAGGATTAAGTGATAAAGATAAAGATAATAATAACTAAAAGGAAATGATTTTCGTCTTCAATTTATTGGAAATGTTATGGATAGAATGACAAGAAAGGACGGCAATGAACCATGAATTAGGGTTTTTATAGGGGAAGACCCTTTTTTCCTTTTTTTATCCCGGAAAAATGCAACAGTCATATTTACGCTTTGCCAGTTGAGTTTAGGCCACATAGGGTAAAACTGTAAAAAGGGCTAATTTAACATTGCCAAATGTTTGGTTTACAAAAAATTCGTTTAAAAAGAATGATAAAAAAATATGGTTAAAAATTTTAAATATTTATATTTATATATAAAAATAATTCTTATATTTTAATATCTTGCTAAATTAATATTTTTACTATTTATTTTATCTAATCAATTATTTATTAAGTATCATCTAAAGCTCGATATGGATTGAAAAGAGATTTATTGTTTGTTAAGGATATCTAGTTAAAAAAAGAGAAAGGGGAAGAATCTAAAAAAAGTGTATAGTTTCAATTGAAAAAAGAGAGGAGGGAACGATTTAGAAAAAAGATAAAGTTAAAAAAAAGATCGATTAGGCGATTGAGAGAAAGAGATAATGAGAAAAAGATTTTCTTTTCTTAAGCTCTAGATTAGATTGAATTGGAATGGATAGTGAGAATTATCCTTTAAGTGGCACACAATTTCATGAAAAAAAATAAATAGCTTTTTTCAAGATTGATGATTGAAACAAAAAGCAAAAAAGAAAGAGATAAAGAAAGGAAAAGGGAAGATGGGGAGATAGTTTGATGTATGATAAAGAAAAAGAAAGGAAAAAGGGAAATAAAGTATGGTGCTGCATCAATCGGTGTTCGATATTGTCGGAATCAACCCCACTTCATTCCTTTCGTTTGGAAGTAATTTGTTTTTTCTCTACATATTTATTTATTTATTTTTGGGATTTAAAATAATTGTGATCTTATTCAACAAGGGGTTTAATTCATACTTTTGTAAAAACTTGCTAAAATGATATTGGACTAGCCTTGAATAATGTTGTTGAAGCAAAAAAAAAAAAATCGGAAGGTACTTAATTTTAGCTATAAGCTTTAGTATTTTTTAATTTGTTGCTATTTTTCATAACATGTGTGGTGAATTTACTTTATTTTAAGTCTCTTAACTAGTTTTGAAAGCAAAAAATAGTTTCATTTATAGATATATTGAAAAGGGACCATAAGTGGCCCTGATTTGTTCCATTTATCTTTTGCATTTCTTCTTAGAATTTATTTAGGTGTTTTTTATTTTCATTCCAAGTATTTATTTTTGAATTTCTATGGTAACATCTCTTTTTCCCTTTGATTTTTATAAGTTTGTTTAAAACTTAATAATAATTCTATCACGTTATTGCATTATGATTGTTTTCTTTAACAAAATGTTAATTTTGATAAATGTGTTTCTAGTGTTATCTCATGTAAGAAATTAATTTTTATTTGTCCAAAATGAGTTTTTACTTAATTGTGTTAGGATTTCTTATAATTGTGTTAATTACATAATTTTTTATAAAATTTGGATAAACAAAAACTATAAAAAATTTGCATTACTTAAAGTTAAAGCAAGAAGTCAGTTGATTTTGATGATTTTCGTTGATGATGGTTCTAGTGAATAGGATGATTAGGGCAAATATGGCATTGGTGGTATATGATGCTTAGAAGAAGCTTGTTTTTTATTTGTAATAATAACAACATTTTAGAAAAATCAGATAAAATTATAGTTGGCTGTAAAAGTACTATTTAAAATTATTGTCCTAAAATCATCTTGAGTATATTAATAGAAGTTTATTACACTAAAATAGGATATTTGGAATTAACTTGTAATCATACTTCTCATCAACTGTTAGAATCTATGCAAAAATTCAAAATCCATATTTTATACAAATTGGTTATTAAACAATTAGTTAAAATGCCTAAGTTCAACTTTCTACAAGAACTTTGATTAGAAAATTGACGGTGGCTAGACCAGATTGAGTGATGTAAGTGGAGTATAGAAAAGTTTGAATAAATTTTTTATATGTGATTTTTTAAAATTTAGTGTTCCTAATAAAGAATTTAATCTTTACAGGTTACAAGAGCTTTTGAAAGGCTAATAGAGAAAGAAAAAAAGATATAATAAGAGTTAAGGATCAAGTATGTCTCATTGGGCTTCATGAACTACTTTTACAACCTTTATAAGTTGATACATTTCAAATTGTATACTTATACATGTTTTACCCTAGTGTATTTACAATTTTCTATGAGTGTGCACATGATTAATTAAAAGAAATGATTTGCTAGTTAGCTATGTTCTTTTTTTTTTATATATTATATTTGAGTATCTTTCAAGTCTTTAATGATGGCAGAATAAGGTACTTCATACATATCTTACTTCAATCTTATTCTTTTCTTGGGACATTCAAAAAAAAATTTTTTTTTGCTTTCACCTATGATGGCCTCATCTTTTAAGGAGTATACATATGTTTGGGCTATCTTAATTTATTATAATTTGAGGATTTTACGCACTTAAAGGGGTATTGAAGATGGTGAAGAGCCAAGATTTACAACTATAAAGGAGTTGCGAGAAGAAATTAGAGTAATGTACTAAATTTATTATTGAGGTTTGTTAAAAAAAAAGAATGCCTTATTTGCTGCAGGTTTTTCCATAGGTCTTTTATGCATGATTGGCAGTGACATTTCATAGATATAATTCTATTATGTGATAATTTTTTTAATATTTCAAAACCTTATAGATTTAAGTATTAAATGTAAATAGAATGGATCTAAAGTAAAATTATTAATACCAAAGTTATTGTTTACTCAACTATAGCATGCATGGTATATTTGAAATATGATTTTCAAAAAGCAAATAAATTTGGAAACAAGCTAAGTAAAGAGAATGGATTAAATATTTTTTCTCTTGATGTATTGTTTATAAGAGAAATCAGATACATACGATTATTTCAAATTTGGATTCATGTGAATAAAGATATTGGAAACAACAATTCTTATTAAATGTATAAAGCATTTAAGCTATATTCTTAAATTTCTACGCAAGTGTTTAGTTTAATATAATTTCCTCTATGGTCTACCATTTTTTTCTTTCCCCAATTGCTGCTATACATCTAATTAACATTATGGTTTGGTAATTGGTTGACATATGATTTTCTTTTTACTATAAAAGCCAAAGTGAATTGACTTTGGGGAGGTGAATGGTATAGGCAAGCACAAAAGTGGTTTGTTTTTCCTTTCTTTGCATTCTTCTCTCTTTTATCCAACCACACATGCTAGCATCTAGGTAACCTTATCTATTAGAAGAAAACCATGTTGTTTGAAATGGCTTGATTTAATTTTTAATCTAATTTATAGTTTAAGCTAGTGGCTGCATATTTCTCATTGTGGCTTCTACTAATAATTAAATAATTTTTAAATATATATTTTAATAAATATCTTAAAATTAGAAAACATCTGGCATGTCATTATAAAAAAATTTTAAAATTTTCTTACATGATTTACCTAAATTTTTTGTAAGCAAAACTTATCAGGTTTTTATGTACATTGTAATATAATATTATATCTGATTTAATGATTGTTGTTGTGCAAATAATGCACAAGTATCATTTTAATCAATTAATTTAAATTTATAAATAAATTAGGTTGATATCTAATATCATTTTAATCAATTGATCTAAATCTTAAAGAAGTTAGAATATTGCAATTCAATATTTTTATTTCTTTTTCTTATTCAATCTCATTTTTCTTAATTTATAGCATTAACAATCTTTAAATTGCATTCTTTTCATCATTGTTTACATTATAATAACACTCAAATTGTGTTTCACTAAGTAATTTTACATCCCACAAGGTAAAGTTAGTCTTTAGTTGATACATTTCACTAAGTAATTATAATATCACTCAAATTTTTATAAAATTTAGTTTTTCATGTGTTTTAATGTATGGCCATAGAAGGATATGACTTTTAGAATATTTTTAAATCTTTGTACCATTGTTACATTTATCAAGTAATTATAGGTAAACTTTTGTTGGATAAAATTAAACATTATTATTTTAATTAGGTGGCTATTTGATTGAGACTTCTTTTATCTCTTTTGTATTTATCTTAAAGCATAATGAGAAAATTGATTCATATAGGTCTCAATCAATACTATAATCTTTTTTTTTTTTTAAAGTAAAAGCCTTTTTTCTTCAAATATCAAACATCCTTTTGTTTACTGCCTTCATTTCCTTTTGATTTCCTCTATTTATATTTTTTTTTCATTTTGTTAATTACAAATAAAAGTGGGCTCATTTCTTTTTGTTCAGGTAGTGATGTTTTAGAGTATCTAATGCTATCTTTTTTTATATAATTCTAATAGTTATATCTTAGTGATTTATGAATTATGAATGAAGTTTTTCTTTTCATTTGGATTTATTTTGTTGTTTGAGAATGAAGCAATAGTAGAAAAAAAAAGTAAGATATATATGCTTTAATTAAGAGTTTATATTATGACAATGTTTTGATATTTTTTGCTCTTATGTTATGTAAAAAAAAGATTGTGATATTTTACAGTGTTTTGTTTTTGTAAATGAACCTTATTCACAAAAAAATCCCTATTCTTATCCATAATGGTAAACCTATTTATGAATCACTTTTCAAGTTTAGTACATTGATGAGGCTTGGCATGATAAATTTCCTTTGATTCTTTCTGATCCTTATCAAAGAGCCATTGTTAGATTTTTTGTTGATTTTGTTAACAAAAAGTACTTTTTTTCTTTCTTTTTACTACTTTTTTTAAAGATAAATTTCTCTGATTTGGTTAAATGACTTTAAATTGAAAAAAAAACATATTTACTAATCATTTAATCAAATATTAAAAAATATTTTTTCTGATAATATAGAACCTGTTTTGCCTAAATTATTGTTTGATGAAAATGGTGATATATGATATCAGGAGGAAATTATGAACAACTAAGGGAAAAAAACATGTAATAAAATAAAAAGGATTTATTAAAAACTTGAAGCTGTTGGAAGGAAAGCTTAGATATAAGCCTTATTTTGATGGAGAAATCTTGGCTAAGTAAATGTTGTTTTTCTTCCATTTTTATTGATTATATGATAAAACAATTTTTTTCAAAGTTA